ACCGTCTGCCTGGAGATTGCCGATGGAAACTCTCTGTCTTTGAGGTCCTTCAGCACGGCTTCCAAGCCACTGCGTGAGATTACGTGGCGTCTACAAAGTCGTCCAACTTCGATCGCCATTGCATGCAATGATGGCTCGTGCAGGCGTGCCACAAGTCACAGCCTGTTTAAAGCCACCATGCAGGATATGATTTGTTGTTTTGAAAAATAATAAGGGCATGTATTTCGATGCTCATTCCATGTGATAATTGCCACACAATAGACAGCCACGATGGCAAGAACATGCCTTTCGATTTCGTTACATTATGCATTGCCACATACATACAATATATAGGCCTTTCTATGGAGCAGGATGGGAAAAAAGCCCCTTTCGATAATGATTCCATGTGGTAATTGCCATGCGGTGTAGTATAGAGCAAGATGCATGTGTCTTATACGTTCGATCTAAAACATGTGAAAGCATGTTAACACAAGATGCATGTGTCTTATACGTTCGATCTAAAACATGTGAAAGCATGTTAACACAGTGTTCACACACACACAGATTGCTGAAAAAAGCGACGGACGCTTATGGCATCAGCAGGAAACACACTCCATCGCATGATTTCTTCTTGCATGCTGATGGCATCAACAGGAAACGAACGCTGTCACATGACTTCATCTCCCTTGGATGATGACAAAACTAGACAGAAAAAGTCGTGCTATAGCAAACCGATGTTTTTGTATACACATCCTCCAGCATGTGGAAAACGGCAAAGTCTTTTTGACCAACGCGAAGAATCTCTAATCCACATTCTCTGCCACCTCAGCGCGTTTCCGAAGGGCAATCCCATCTTCGATCAACCGGAGTGCCTTGTGAAATGATGCGACCTCATCATCTCGGAACTTGACTTTCTTGTCGTTCCTGTCTGATTTGTTGATGAACACTCGCCAACAAGAGGCCGCTGGGTTGCGATGCACTTTGCCCTCGAGCCAGAAGAATGTGCCGTTCCACGGCACTGGTGGGTTTGGCAGCTCGGAGGCGCCTTCCCTCGGTGGCTCTGCGGCCGCGCTCTTGACACCCGCCTTCGGTTTGGCCTTGCCTGCTGACGCCTTTGGGGCGCTCTTCGCAGCGGCCTTGGCTTTGGCTGCAGTCTTTTTCACAGAAGCACTGTCCACTTCTTTGCTTTCTTTTTCTTCTTCCGTCTTCTTGGCAATGCTCTTCGCTTTTGCCGCAGGCTTTTTCATCACAGGTTCTTCCTCTTCATCATCTTGCCTGTTGTCTTTCTTCTGCTGTGCCTTGCTTTTCTCACGGCTCTTCAAGGCAGCTTGCAAGTTTGCAACATAGTCTTCTGGACTCTTGGTCCCCTCAGGGGACGTCGCAAAGAGCTGCTTTGCTGGCGCAGGCGGTGTACTCTGTGCGCTCTCTGGTGTTTTCTGGGGAGCACTCTGTCTAGGTGTAGTAGTCGGTGGACTGCTTGAGACCATTGCTGTGGAAGCTCTTGGGCCTCCTGCAGCATCATTGTCGCCAGGGTCAGGCTCTTCTGCAGGCTTGTCCATAATGGCCTTGGCTGCAGCCTTCTTGGGTCGTTTGTTTGCAAACACCTCCAGCCCAAGAGAGTCGGCACTCATGCCTTGCTGATGCATCATCATCATTTGAAACATTGACATCATTTGCATCATCATGTTGGGGGCTTCTTCAACTGTGGTGGACATGGTTTCAGGAAAGGACTGTTTCCTTTTTGCCTTCACAGAGCCATGACTCTTGCAGCTGGGTAGCCCGGCAGTCATTCCAAGGCTGGCGTTGCATTCTTGCACCGGTTGGTTGTCTTGGAGGAAAGACTCGATCGAACACTTCTTTGGGGAGGTCGAAAGGACTGTCTGGAAACGTTTGCATCAAAGGCACCTTCTCAAGATGCTTGATCTTGCTTCGGAGCATATCTTTGAATTCCCTCACCAGCTTGTAAAAGGTCGCCGAATCCTCCGACTTCATGCCACCTGAAAGAGTTTGGCAAATTGCCAGGGTAAGCTCATGATGAAGAGACAACATGTGCAAACAATGAACCAGTGGCCAACACGTAGCCAAAATCACACTGACCATGCATGCATGCAGCGAATGATAAACTTCATCCAAGCTACAGTCTACTGCCGACTTCACGATGTGCGTGGCCACCTTTTCTGTCGGGAGATGGAGTCCCAAAGTGACGCATTTGTCAGCAAGAAGCTCGAGCTTCGTGTTGTTGTTTTTCTTGGAGTCCGCCATGAGCTCCATGTCATTGGTGGTAAAGTAGGCTCCAAAAGCCTTCACGACCTGTGATGGTCGCTTATTCCCTTTGTTGCCCTTCGATTCCACGTGTTCTTCCATTTGCTCACAAAGCACCTTGCCAAACGTATCCAGCTGATCCTGTTTCCATGGACCACTGGCCAAGGCTTCGGAGAGCTGGGTGGCCTCTATAGCTGTGATCTTGCAGGAGCGCAGCCGGTTCATCCACACCTTCGCCTGGTTGTCGACCATCTTGTCGAAGGTGGCTGCATCTGATATCAGCTGCTTTTGCCGTGCCAAGAAGCCCTGGATGCCATGGAGATCACTGAGCATCTGCGAGCCCTCGCTGGACCCAGCAGACTTGTGCGACATGATGGTCCGAACGTTTTCTTGTCACATCTACAGACTACTATTGATACATCTTAAATCACCTGCAGTATGCATGGAGTCGGCTGCTGCATTCACGGATTGACGACTCCATGTATATAGATCAACACTGGACGTGTCCCATGCAGGCCTCATCCTGGGTGGAAGGCACGCAGCGAGGTGGGGACACCAAACAATTGGTTGCCTGCCAGGTGACGTGGTTTAGAAAAAAAGGTCTTCTATTCTGGGGATTAGTTTCAGTTGTGGACTGCTGGTCTGCAATTGGCAGCTGACAAATTGAACCCTTAATATCAAAAAGATGGGCAAAGTTGAAAACTACACTCATATGACTCATACCAAACAACACTTGCGCTCTCGCATGCATTGTCAGCTTTTGTCCTCGGTGAATTGACCTGAATGAAAACCTATGCAGTTCGATGCAGTGACAATGTAATTTCTTGCATGTTCCAGATTTCTTCCCTAATCTCCAAACAGGAAAGCCAAGTTTTGAGCCTCTTAAGTCCCCTGTATATGTGGAGATGCTGGCGAGCGCAACTGCCCAGCCAGCTAGATGCAACAATCGCCCCGGCTAATTCTGGCCTCGAAGCATCGAGCCCAATGCCATGGGTCCTGCAAGTGCATGGGATGCACGCCGTAAGATGCATGGTACTCTCTATCTATCTATCTATCTATCTATCTATCTATCTATCTATCTATCTATCTATCTCTCTATCTCTCTATCTCTCTATAGCTATCTAATCCAATCTAATCTAATCTAATCTAATCCAATCCAATCCAATCTACTCCAATCTAATCTAATCTAATCTAATCTAATCTAATCTATCTAATCTAATCTAATCTAATCTAACCTAATCTAATCTAATTAATCTAATCTAATCTCAACCCATCTCATCTCATCTATAATTCTGGCCTCGAAGCATCGAGCCAATGCCATGGGTCCTGCAGGTGCATGGGATGCACGCCGTACGATGCATGGTGGCTAAATATATATATATATATTGATGGGGGAAGATTGGGCAAATGCTGCATTTTCTTTGTACTGGGGCATGTGTCCGGGCGTGCACATGGCTGTGGATATACCCCATTGCACGGATGAAAGCATGATGGGCAATTGCTCGCATGTGGTATTTCAAAAAAACAAATATCTCCAATCTTCTTGCAAGCAACAACGTGGAAAGGATCCGTGACCACCCATGTCCGCTCATCACAGCACCAGTCCTGACTCGAGGATTGCAAGCATCACCTGCCCAGCGATGGATTGCGGCAATCTAGAAAGTTGATGTTGCATCCATATTCACATCAATGCAAGAAATCTCAACTTTGAATGTCTAAACTGGATCCCATGCATGTAAATACCCAACAATGCAAAAGGACTTGAACTCAACCTCATCCCACCGGTCTTGCACCCAATGCCCTTTTTTTTTTTGGTGCCGCAATCCTGCTTGGCCAAAAGGAGTCTGTGGTCTTCGAAACTGTGAAAATGACCAATTAAGTGAGGACGGCAAGCATTACATGAAAAATGAATTATAGTGGTTCTTATCCATCTAGATTTATCTTTATATCTTAATCGTTTGAGTGTCTGTTTGAAAAATCAGCTGATGTGTCTATAGGTGCAAACGTTTGACCGCCATCCCAGCCAGCTGCGAAAAAACGCTAAAACGCAAATTAGTGAAGTTGACAATCAGCATATGTTTCTGCATGTTTTTGTCATCATCACACATTATGGGCCGTTAGATTTGAATACAACATGTGATGCATTGTCACTTCAACTCCGTGCAGGGCATGCAGGTTCCAAGCTGATCCTTTTCACCAATCACCTGTGAAATTACATTGATGGTTGACAACCGTCGCTTGCTAGGCCAGAAACGTTGAAAGAACATATATTGTTATTCAATATAGTTTGATTCCACAAACACCACACCAGATCAGCCAGAACCGAAAGAAAGCAAAAAGGGTGAAACGATACTGTACGAAGCTTCCGGTGCTGGGGCAGCCATCGACATGCTGCAGTGCTCAGATTGAGGGCGCCTTTTCCTGTTACTTGATGTGAATTTTATACATTTATATAATATACTATAGCAGCAGATCATTGGGGGTATTTTTTGAGGACGGGTTATTTGCCAAAGTTTTGCATTTAAGACGCCCCCAGTCTGTTGCCATTGAGTACACCTTCTGCATGCGCAGCTGGATGATCTGGCCATTTCATCCAAGCCTTTGGATGTCTAAATTTAATTTCCTGTCAGAGGCCATGAGTCCAAGTTTGAATGGCCCATGCAGTTGTTATGTTACTTTTGCTAGTTAAATTGTTTACATGGCCAATGGCCGCATTTCAAGGAATCATTCTTTGGTGGCTATGGCCTTCCATGGCTATTTCACTTCCTTCTGATGGCCTCTTTCAGGACGTCCGCCAGCTGGTTTACGCCCCGGATCGTTGCCATGCGCTCCTCAGGGCTCAGGCCGCTGCTGGAGCTGGATGCCTCAGCTCAATGACGTGCACTGACGACAAAATCCTTTGCTGCCAATTCATGCTATGACTCTTCATTCAACATGCATGGGCACTGCTCTCTGACACATGCGTCATCATCATGCACTCAATGCATACACCATGTATTTGATGTATGACAAAGCCAAGCAACCTCGTCCGTGGTCTCGCGCAGCTGCTGGAAGGTCTCCTCAAGAACGTGCGATACTCTGCATTCACAAGGTGGGCAAACATCATGTTGCACAAGTGTACTAAGCATGTAGAAACTCAACCTATACATTCCCATGCATACACATGATTTTGCTGGGCCAGTCTCGCAAAATATGCATCAAGCAGGACACTTGTGAACTTACACATGTGTGTATAAACTGTGCAAACCAATGCAACAAAGAGTCTTTGGCGCGCACCTGAGCGCCCCCCCGAGTGCGCGACCGCGTGCGGGTGGAATGGCCATCCCGGTAGGCCTGCAGCTCATCTGCATCCTTCCATTTGCCATCCACCCACACGCGGCCATCCTCATAGTGCACCTCCTAAGGGGCAGGAATCAACCGATCAAGCATGTTTCAAAGTAATAAAGGCCAATATTCAATATAGCAATTTGCATGTCAAGATTGCAACATAAATCCCTATATGTTCAAACTCTACAGTGCCACCGAAGGTCCTTCCTGCCAGCCCACCAGACCACTGTCGCTGCAGTTGCACATGGCGGCTCTGGTGGTGCCGCTCGGACCGCCACCTGCATGCACGCATCTGCCTGCATGCGCCACAGCGGCTCCTGCAGGCATCAAACCAATCAAGCAAACAGGATAAGAAAAAATGTTCATGCATCGTTGCATTGACGTGAGTCCTCCTGGCGCCACGGTGGGCGCGGCATCTTCTTGTTGGCCGGCTTCTTCGGTGGCGTTGCCGGCTGGGGGATCTCTGTCTTGTCCTAATAGTCAGATAGCTGGCTGCGCATTGCGTTCCACCACACTTATGCTGACTTGGATAGACCCTAAGTATCTATATCAAGATATGCATGACATACCATGCAGGTCCTCCACCTCGTCATGATCATCCTTCGGTGGCGAGGAGTGCACGCTCTCCGTCTCCTGCAGAGGCAACCAATGAACATACGACCTATACATGCAAACCGAACAGCTTATAGTAATTGAACTCTCGAAGATGACATTGATATACATGTGTATGCACAGACATATAGACATGTATTATATATATATACATATATATATATATCTATATATATATATCTATTTACATATGTATGTATGTATGTATGTATGTATGTATGTATGTATGTATGTATGTATGTATGTATGTATGTATGTATGTATGTATGTATGTGTATATATATATATATAAATGTATTTATACATAAGATTGATGAACTTCCACTGCATGACATCCAATCAGTCTGATGGCATCTGAGTCCTGCTCATCCTTGTGCCACCCCTGCCACTCCTCAGGCTGATCCTTGGAATGTGGCATGCCAACGTGCAAACGTTCTATAGTGCCAAAGACCTGCATATTGCGCGAAGCTACATGGAAACATGATTCAAATTCAAACCCATGTCCTCACTGAGTTTGCTGGCCGAGATTCCCCTTGGCCCCAAGGGCGCCACTTGCCCCACCACTCCTCCTCATCGTCTCCATCATGCTGCAGCAGCTCATTGCCAGCCTCATCCGTCACCCGCACCATTGCGCCAGCACTCGAGCGCCCCCGGACTGCACCGATGTGTGATGCTATGATGCCCTGCTGCTAGGATGGTTCCCTGCTGCTTGGCTAGTATGATGCCCTGCTTATGTGCTGCTAACTTCCAATGGGAAATTGGCCGTAGCTGACCAGGCGGGATGGTCGTAGCTGACCAGGCAGGAATGATGTGTATATATATATGTGTGTGTGAATGCAAGTATATATATATAGGTATATATATGTGAATATGTATATATATATATGTGTGTGAGTATATATATATATATGAATGAAATATATATATAATATATATGTGAATATATGTATATATAAACAAATCTATTTGTGAATATATATATATGTATATATATGTGAGTATATATACATATATATATATGTACATGTGCTTGTGAATATACATATATATATATGTGAATATAATATATCTGAATATATGAATATATCTATGTATATATAAATATATATTGTTTATTTAGGGATGTATACACTGGCTGAACCTGCAGCAACATTCAGGGATGACTTGCCGAGGAATCCAAAGGATTTGATTGGATGTGAATGTGCATAGGGAGAAAAATAAATAAAAAGTGGTAAACCCGAATGTCGAGGGAATGCTGTTGGGAGTTGGATATGCTTGGATGACAACAAACATACACAAACAAACTAAATGCCATTGGGGCCCCACAGGGGCACAACACGAAAAAAAAATGTGACAATTGCTGCTGTGAGTGTGGTGTGGCATGAGTTATGGAAAATCTCTAAGCCATCCGTCTGCGGAGCAATGCGACCGGCTGGAGGATCCACGACACATGGCAAGGAATGAAGCCCAAATCCACCCCATCAGATTCAGTATGAGATTCAACTCATACTTGGTCACATGAAACGCATGGCATCCAAGGGATTCATCCAAAGGAACTTCAATGATGCAGATGTTGATGTGAATCTACAAAGATTGAAGCAACCCGCAACCATGTTTGGCGCCTCATGGTTCCCGCAGTTGCACCGAAGACCTGCGCAAACAGTGATCACAATGGGGGGCACGTGGGTCCATGTCACCATTGAACGCTCTAATGTAAAGTCCATGTAAAGTCCATGAAAGTGTAAAGGTGTGCATACAGATCTATGACCCGCCCGGAAACCCGGCCTATAATTGGTCTCATCCGTGCTGCAGAGTGCCCGTACCTGGCGCGGTTCAACCGTTCAAAGTTCTTCCGAATGATCAGTTAAATGAAGTTTTTTCCGACAATTCCACGTGATACAGATTAGAAATGTGTCAAAAAAAACACAAAACACTTCAAACAACGCTCAACGCCATTTTGTGGATCCACAATGTTGATTTCAAAAAAATGTGGATCCACAAAAATTTGAATCACACACTTGTGTTTCCACAAAACCGTTTGGAATGCTTCTGGACCATTTTGTGGATCCACAATTTTTGAAACCGCCAACTTGTGGATCCACAAAATTTCACATCCAATTTTTGTGGATCCACAAAAATGCAAAAGATGAAAAAAAGGCCACGCGGTAGCGCTCGCAATTTTTTTTTTTAAGGGTTTAGGGTTTAGGATTGACTTCAAAAAAATAAGATTCTTTTTCTGAATAGATTGCATTCTCAAACATGTTTCAACTGCA